TAGTCTAAGGTTTATCCAGTGTTGTATTCACATTATTGTTTGGATTTTTGATTTATAAAAAATTGCTTTTTCGAGGCCTTTTGAAAGTGATGGAAATAATGTAATCCCTGAAGGTATGTAAATAATTATAATTCTGATTGACCATTTTTTAAATAAATAGGATCAGTTGCAGCCCAAAAACAATTAAATTAATATTTTAATACCCACATAAATTGTAAAATTTAAACAGTTTAAAGTCTGCTTTGGCAGTTTACATTATTGTTTACCTATATAGGGTGATTCACAAAGAAAAGGTAATATTTTACCTGTAGATTCTATAATGGAAAATGTTAATTTTTGGTTTAATCTGGGAGTCAAAAATTAAAACATACTGAGAAAAAGTATTAAATGTAAAAACTGTACGAGAATACTTTATAATAACTAAGTAGGTAATTAGCAAGTAATTGGCATTTATATATGATCAATTTTAGTAATATATTTTTTAAATTTTTGTTGGTCCTGTAAACATAGGGTAAAAGCATTTTGTTACAATAAAATAGAATTTTTTCGTAGTTTTATATAGAATATTGTTAGTAATAATGTAACGATTGTTTAATTTATTTATATTTTATTTATTTAAAACACTTTATTTATAATTTATTTATAAGGTACTAATTAATTTATACAATACTTAGGCACTATTATAACTCATAATTCTAATTTATTTATTACAATTTATCACTTAAATTGAAACTTAACTGCTATCGACAAAATCTTGGCTATTTATATAAAAATTGAACGCTCTCGAAACCACCAACTCTGACTAGAAGCTCAGTGTGGAAGTTCTAGAAATTATCCTACACGCTTCAGACTGCGATGGAAAACATTCGAATCGGTTTCTCGAGTCTCGAGATGGGTCTCGATATGGCCAGCGCTAGACTTCCTGTCGCGAGTACGGTAATAGACAAAGAACAGAGACGGCTTTACGCGACCATACATTCACCCGAAACGCGCTCTTACCACAACTGACCCTACATAATTATATGCAGAACCCATCAGAGTTTGTTCTGAAAGTGAAGAATAATTGCAGGGGGAGGAGGTGGAGGAGGAGAAGGTGGAAGAGGAGAAGAATCAGGAGGAGCAGGAAGATGAGGAGGATGAGGAGAATGAGGAGAATGACCAAAAATTTGGTATGTGGATGTCACCCTCAACCAAAAAGTTATTAGAAATATGTACCACCAATTAAAATTGGAAAATAATGGATTTAATTACGGTATCATAGAAGGAACACACGTTTTGACAAAACTTTCCAAACCTTCGATTAAAAAAGTTATTACAACTCAGAAATGTCTTCCAAGAAAAAAGTGGACTCAAAGATCTCTAGTAAAGTTTATATCACTATATACATGATGGAGAATATTAGAAGAAAGGCTTATAATTTTTATTTTAATAATATTGTGCCGTCTTTTGAAATGATTAAAAATTAAATCAAGTGGGTTCCCGGTTTCCCTTACAAATCTGACAAAATCACTTGAAAAGTGCTCCATTCTTTGGGTTTTAGATATCGTACCTTAAGGCTTGCGTCTGACACACAAGGAATCGAATTTCGTGCGAGAAAAAGATGGGTATAACTTTCCGCAAAGTAGGTGTCCCGGGACGTGGCGGTCCCCGGCAGTGAGTAAAGGAACTTAAAAATTTCTAACCATCGACGAATAAGTTTTCTACTTCTGCTTTCAAGCCTCTGACCGTTGTATCATTGTATAAAGAACTAAATAGTAGTCTCATCTTATGGAAGTTTCATTGGAGCGAAATGGATACTACCAATAGATGGCGCTAGTGAATATGGATAAGTCGATATTCGTTTGCAGTGGGCGGAGTTGAGGGTCCAGCAGAAATTTTTAAGAATGACTGAGACCGATCGATAAATTTCTATTTTTAGCTCTTGGATGAAATTTTATACACTCGTGATTGAATGTTTGGACTATTTTCTATCTAATGTTTGTTATTGTGCGTTAGTGCATATATCTATGGTTAGTGCGTTTACGGGTAGTAGGTATTGTGAATGAGTTGTGTTTATGTTTTATTACTGAATTATTTTACTGTTAATAAAAGACGAGTTCCCAAAAAAAATTTGTGTAGGTATTTATAACTGTTTTGAAATTAATAAAATAGAAAATATGCTTTTGTTTTTCGTTTCCTTTACAGGTTTTATCCGAATGAATTTAACATAAATTATATAATATTAATAATAGCAATAATAATACATTTCTTAAGTGTTGAAAAAATTGTATTTTTAATTTAAATACCTAAATACTTAGCATAAGTAATTATAAACAACAGGTTATTTCTTTAATCTGGTGCGTAACAATCTAATAAAAAAAACCCTTAAGATGGTTGGTAAATAATATAAATGAATTCTTAATATTGAAGTAAACACAATGGGTTCTATAAGGATTATTGGTTGGGGTTCGGCTTTGGGGGATAGGATCGAAATATTGAAACTAAACTTGGTATATGGATGTATTATCCCATAAAAATAAAAATCGCTTTAAAAAATTCACCCCTCCACATCCCTATCTGATATGGTGAGGGTGGCATTCCCAAAAAATTAAGTTAGAACTTTTTAAATAAAACAGTTGAAGTCTACGATTTTTTATACATAAAAACACAAAATTCCAATTTTTTTGAAAAAAAATTTCCAAATTTTTTTTGATCTTAGAAAAAATTTTGACTTTAATCTTCATAGTTCGGATGTGGGGGCTGGCATTTAAAAATAGTTACAAATACATAAAAATCTTATTTTTGGCATATTTACAATAGAAATGATTTGCAACATTTTTGTATAAATATCTTACCACCACCATCTCCTAGAGGGAGATGGAGGGTGTGGCGTCCCCAAAAAATCAAATTAGAACTTAAAAAAAAAACAGTTAAAATCTACAATTTTTTATACATATAAACCAAAATTTCATTTATTAAATCAAATTATTAAATTAAATTATTTTTTTAATTTCTTTATTATATTTAATATTATTTCTACTTTTTCTAACAATAATCAATTTAAAATATCTACTTTGATTGAGCCAAAATATTTAGTAGGGGAAGTTTTTAATATTATACAAACATACTGTGTGTCCAAAAAAAAATATATAAATTTGGCTAAACATTAACCTTTATTTCTAAAAACAGGAGAAAAATATGTAGAAAACATATATATGTTTAATGTAAAAGTTATTTGAATAAACTTGTTTTGGATTGGATTGGATTGTCTACGAATCGAAGGGTTCCGAGTTCAAACCCCCGAGTGGACACTTTTTTTTTATTATTTTATTTTTTTTTTTTTTTTTTTGTAGAAAAAGTTTTACTTTTTAACGCTGATAATCAGACTGCTTTTAGTTTCATTAAAATCTCAGTTTATTTTTAAATATAGACGAATATCTTGTGGAATGCTATTATTTATTGATTCTTTACAAGAATCACTAATTTTTATTTATATTTAATCTAAATAATTAAAAAAATATATACTGACAATTAATTTTACGAAATTGTCACTTATAAAGTTCTAACATCTGACGTAGTAACCAGTAAATAAAATCGTTAGTTCAATGATTGTACCAATAGATGGCGGGCGCGATTGCCTCCAATAACTTTTACATGGCGATTATCCTACTATAGTTCTTTATACAATGGTTGTATGAAGATATTATCTTCATACAACGCTCTGACCGTTAAGAAATTTACATAAGCAGGCCCAAAATTAGTATCGTTTTAGAAAGAAATTTGAAAAGTTTATTTCTTGTCATAAAAAGTTTAAATTAAAGTATGCTAAAATACAAATGAACCAGTTTAATTTTCTTAGCAAAAATCAAAAAATCTAAACAAGCGCATAAAGAACACAAACTTTGGAATGCACCAACTTATATAGATCAAATTGTGTATGTATATGCATATTACATATTATGAAAATGAGAGGTCAATTTTTATTTTGATAATTTTACTAAGTTTATGTTTTGTAAGATGTAACAGCTAATTTGAAATCAATGATGCTTAAATAAAACGGGAAAACAGATAAAAAATTTAATAGATAGAAAAAACTATTGGAATTCCATGCAAGAAACAGTCAATGGACTCAAATAGTTTTACATAATGTAGTAAAATTCAAAAACTCTAAGCAGTGCCACAACAAATACCATAAAATATACCTCCCATATCCCTTTCTTACTTGATTGATATCTCTGTTTACCATATAAGGGGTATACAATTTGTCATATAAAACATTGAATTTGTGTTAGATTAACGCGCATAAACCATTCTAGTCGGCTTCAACAAATTCGTGTCTATCCCTTTTTAATCCCTTATTTGAGCTATCGTCTATTATTGAAATATTAGAGGACAATAGATGATACTGGAAATTCCTAATATGATTTAATTCCGGGAATTAAATATTTTATTGTTCGTTGTTAAATAACTTATTATTTAATTGGCATAGTTAATTTTTCAATTCAGCCAATAAAACTATTCTCTCTGTATATGTTCTGAATTTAACAAGTATTGTAAAGATTTAGATTTTTTTTAATTTATCCTTATATAGATACAAGAAATGAGTAATAGTAGTTTGTGCAACATTTTTCTATCTGTATAGCCCAACTGTATTTTTATGTTGAGTTCATGAGTAAGGAACTAACAATCACTTTCCTAAGGGGCTCTCAAATTAAAAGTGCTAGTTGCCACAACATGAATTATTTAGTTTTATTTTAAAGATGCAATATTTATCTGCAAAAATTTTATCCAAGAATATTCTTAGATAAGATAAATATACCTATTGATAAAATATATTTTTACTGTACCTATCTAAACTTTTTTATTTTGCGTATGATAAGTGTCTACTGTCTACATAAAAACATTACATAAAACGTATAAAATTTATGAGGTCTAAAAAAATAATATTTGAGTTAGTAGACAGCTGTTATTTGATATTATGTCTTGATTTTTAATATTACGTATTGCAATAATTTTCTTACTTGTAAGATTCCTCCATTAAAAACAACTCCTCGTCATGTCTCATTTTGATTTTTCGCACAAGGCTCTCATGTGGAGTTTCTTCATTTGTAGCCCCATCATAATTTTCATCCTCAACATCCTTTACTCTATTAAAGGTTGTTTTACTTGGATCAGAAATTATCATTTGAATCTGTTTGTTAATTCGCTCCTGTTGCAATCTTATATTATTTTCAACCATATGTTGCTTTATGATGTATTCGTCGATGAATTTTTGAAAATATTTATCTTGTTTGCCTAGAAAGATGTATCTATTTCAGCATTATAAATATTGATTTTTTTGGTGTGACATTGTTGGATATTATAGAAGTCATAAAGCGATTAAAAAAAAGTCGAGTATGTAACAAGACATTGTTTATAATAATTATTTATTTAATTACCTATAATTTGCTCTTGTTTCTCTTGAATCTCCTTCAATGTCTCTTCGTATTTCTTGAACTGCAAAGATACTAACAATAAAGATTCCTGTTGATGCAAAGAAGAATATGTATTTTGAATTTCTGCATTAATATTTTGTGGAGACAATTCGTTTGTTGGCAACTGCTTTTGTGGAACCGTCATTGCAGGAGCTTGTTGTTGAACTTGCGGTGGATCTTCTTGCCGTATCAATACCTGGTCTTCTTTTTGGTGTGTAGACTGAGTTTGAGTTAAATCAGGCTTCTTAATTGACGGCGATTCTGCTCTTCTTGTTGTTGGACCTAAGCCGAGCCAATCTGGTACTCCTAGAAAATTGTTTTTATACGATCTATGTATATGGTTCAGATTAAGACATGGGTGATATACATATATATTATAGCAGTTATTAGGACGTTTTGTAACGAATATATGTACTTTGAAAACATTGTGCAAGAACAATACCTGAACTTAAACAAAAACTTTAAGATATATGAGATTTGTTTACCCCAGAAATTTGCAAAGGCTTAGTTAAAACCATGCCGCAAAAAAATGTCTGCTGTTATAAAAAATAAAGGCGACGTTACTCAATGATAAACTTTAAATTGATTATTGTCTAATTCCAACTATTGGTTAGTTTTTCTTTATTTTATGTTAAATAAAGGTTTTAATGTTTTCTACGTATTTTTTGTGATTGAACGATATTAAGCATATTGTACAACGAATAAAAATTGGAAAGTTCATGAAGTATTTAAGTATATTTTTAATCTTTAAGTGCGAATTTCCTAAATATCAATAGGTGGGCCAACTGAAGTGGAAAGGGGCTCGTATATACGTAATCCGTTATTTTATAAATGTATACAGCAGTTTATCTATTTAAAAATATAGTTATAATTTACTTAAAATTATCACTTGACATGTCAAATAATTAAGTATAGTAGGAAATAAATAATATGAAGATTATCTTATCATTAAATAAATCCCATTGTCTAATAATAATTTTAGTTACCTGTCATGATTCAATATTTTTTATCATTTTTAACGCATTCACTATTTCTTAATGTCGACTTATTTATTCAAAATAATATTTATACATTATTTAAACTAGTAAAACTAAACTAAAATATAAATAGCTACAAAGTCTGGAAATAAGGTATTTTTTTTAACGATGATGTAATAATAATTATGAAATCGTAGGGTGATAAATGGGATATATTTTACATTTTTTACTTTCCTGTCTGTATACAAAAGGAAAGTATAGGAATCATGATTTTTTCGACCTCGGGTTTTTGATTAATATTTACGTTTTGGGGTCCCCTGAATCCATTTTGACTATTTTCGCGATGATATACAGGGTGTCTGTAAAAGGTCTTTACAAAAGCATACCACATATTCCTTAGACCAAAATAAGTCGATTTAAGTAAAATTACCTTAGTACAAAGTTGCTTCGTTTGGGCTCCAGAGGGCCTTGAAGTTACAATTTTTAAATCGTTTTTCCCATATAAATTTAAAACGGCATATGCGATTTTGCTGAAATTTGGTATATTGGTAGACTTTTATGTGGCAACAAAAATGGTATTAAAATTTTGTCCGATAATAATACATAGGCGTAGAACTTGATTTTTTAAATAATTGCACCTTTAAAAATTCTCATGGTTTTCGCTAATTTCTGTTTTAATAATTTAGAGTGTATAGGTTTCACAAATATATTTATTTACAACATAATCAAAATAGAGATTTTACAAAAATTGTTCAAAATGTTCACCATTTTCACGCATACAAAGATTTATACGTCGAAGAAAATTAAAATGTATCCTTTCCATAACTTCTTCATCACCTCTCAGATTGCACCTTTAAAAATTCTACGCCAATGGCAAAAAAGGGGTTTGAGTATGAAATTTAGATTGGGTACTCATTTACTACAAAAAAGTACCCTTGATAACACTCGATTTACTCTCATGGTTTTGACAAAGTTTGTATTTTAATAATTATTTTTTATATTCTAAAATTACTAAAATGCAAACTTCGTCAAAACCATAAGAGTAATCGAGTCTTATCAAAAGTACCTTTTTTAAAGTAAATGAGTTGCGCAATCTAAATCTCATACTCAAACTCCTTTTGTTCCATTAGCGTAGAATTTTTAAAGGTGCAATTATTTAAAAAATCAAGTTATACGCTTATGTATTATTATCGGACAAAATTTTAATACCATTTTTTTGCCACATAAAACTCTACCAATATACCAAATTTCAGCAAAATCGCATATGCCGTTTTAAATTTATATGGGAAAAACGATTTAAAAATTATAACTTCAATGCCCTCTGGAGCCCAAACGAAGCAACTTTGTACTAAAGTAATTTTACTTAAATCGACTTATTTTGGTCTAAGGAATATGTGGTATGTTTTTGTAAAGACCTTTTACAGACACCCTGTATGTATGTCTGTGTGGTACTAAGAAACGATTAAATAGAAAAACACCAAATTTTAAACTTCATTCTCTTATGAGTTTATTAGATTTTAGGCATAGTCAGAGCATCTGGGTATACTTTATAGGGGTCGTTTATCTACTTTAAGGCATATATTTGTTATTTACACTTGGAGAAAAACATTCTTCAAATAAAAGTTGCTTGTAATGACATATTCTATAATTTTTGATATATACATGGTTTCCCTAAAATGCTCTGTTTTTCGAGAAATTTGTCAAAAAGTGCGAAATTCGAATTGTTCAAATTAAAGTTTTCTATAATACCATTCTCTATAATTTCTGTTTTTTACATGATTTCCCTAAAATAAACCGTATTTGAGATATTTGTGGAAAAGTGCAAATTTTAAATTTTATTATTTTTACTTATAACTATAGTACCTAAATTATATTCAGAAATTTCTCCGAACTCATAGTCCAGTAACTGAAGGGACCAACCTGCCATTAAGTCGGTCCAGATTTCCGATGTGGCTCAACTCTTAGGTCTCGGCGGTCGCTTCCAAGGTCGAAAACTTTTACCAACTCTGCTGCGTCGGAAAGGGCCCAAAATGGACCCTAAAACTGGTTTCCCGCCAATATCTTCCACAATATGCAAATTAGAGAATTTTTGTTTAGATAAAAAAGAAAGAACTTATCATTATCTACAAAAATGGTCCCCATCATTTTTGTCGGGAATTCGACAGGTTTCGAGATAACCGCAATCAAAAGTCCCCTCGTTCAGCCCCTGCTTTATCTCTATAGCAATGCTGATTAGCTTGTAAACGGGTGGACAAATTGTTTCAGAACTCGGTCAAAAATTGATATTTTTCGAGGATTCAAAGTTCATTACAGTGGGAAAACCCATAGGTATCGATCCATGTGCCTTGAAGCCCGTTATTTCCTATCAAGAACATTGAAAAAGGGGTCAAAGTTGCGTTTTCTCACTATTTTGGACCACTTTATAGTAATTCATTCATATTTTTTTTCTTTTAATAGTTTTTTATCCCATTTATCCCAAATAGGATCTTGAGATGTATCGAATGATCTCAGAAATTTTTTTCCAGTATCTTCCTGGCGTTTCAAAAAAAAATTGATTTGTTTATTTGCATTTTTCATACGTTTTCGGAGTTCTAGAAATCTTTGAAACAAGCAGTAATTAAAAACTCATATTTCATTATATTGTTATTCAATGCACACCATTTTAAAGCTTAGAGTGTCTACTTTTCGAATGTATTTTTTTTTTAATAAAGTTGCTCCATTTTCCATAAATCGGGAAAATTGATCACACCGGGGAAAACCGGACTTTTTTTTAAATACTTCTTGTTCCCCGCTGTTCATTTTTTGAACATTAATACCCAGACCGAAGTGAAGCTGATATTCTCACCTTTCCATTTCTATCAATTGATCCCCGTATGTGAGCGTGGTTCTTAACTGTTTGTTAGAATTATCTACCCCATTTTTACGCTCTCCGCCTGAGATTCATGATATTCCATAATAACCTAACCACGTGTACCCACGCGCCACGCGCTCACCTTAATCATCTGCTTTTGTTGGTATACAATCTCTGTTGTTTTTGGAGTCGTTATTTTCGGTTGTTATATATTTCTTTCGTATATTTAAAGAAAATTCACGATTCTGGATTCGATGAAGAGTATGATTCTGATGACATTGAATGGTTTAACGTATGATAAATTATAAGAATTGCTAAGTATTTCGTATTTTCAACATGTTTTTCATAATAAAAGAAATTTTTCAGAAACTTTCTTATTTTTCTGAAATCCTGGACCTATATTGTTCCGATAAAAGTTGGCGAAAATTTTGCAAAAGACGCAGAAAATATAAAGAGTCTTCTCGGGTCAATATTCACCACACTCTAAAACTAGTAACCCACCATTAGGCAAAGCGCCGGGATTTGAGACTGCCACATGAAAAAAAATTTTATTTTGCACTTTTCTATTAAATTTTGTAACGCAAATTACACAGAACATTCGGCAATATAGATGAGATACCCCAAGCGCAACTTTACAGAAAAAATAATTGTCGAAAGATCGATTGGTGCCCGGATTTCCATTCATAGGCCCCATAATTTAGTGAGCAGAGGTATGCCGCTGGCGCCATCTACAATTGGTCTCCAAAGTCCAAAACATGAAAATCAATGTATTCCCAACTCCCTCGAGCGGAAATTCAGTGAAAAACTAACATTTCTATTCAGTGCAAAAATTCGGGCTTTTTCGAAGGCCGTTTTTGCAAAAAATATTCGTCTTGCGAAAAAAATGGTAGGGACCATTTTTGTAGATAATGATACGATCTTCATTTTTTATCTAAACAAAATTTGTCTAATTTGTATATTTTGGCAGATATTATCGGGAAACCATTTTGTCGGTTTTTAGGGGCCATTTTGAGCCCTTTCCGACCCAGCAGTGATGGTAAAAGTTTTCCCCCTTGAAAGCAACCGTCAAGACCTAAGAATTGAGCCACAAAGGAAATCTGGACCGACTTAATGACAGCTTTGCATATTTTCAGGTCTTCAGTTACTGGACTATCACTAATATTTTGAATATTATCCCTATATCATTCGAGTAAGATACGTGTGAGGAAAATGTAGTATTTAGTTCATCCACTAAACAATTACCTGGGCAACAATAAGTTGCACAGAATAACCGGAATAGTCTACAACTTTAGGTAAGACAGGAAAGTCATGTGTTGGACACATCATATTTTTTATATGATATCACATTTATGTGACGTCAACGTTTAGCGTACCACTGCCATCTTGATCTTTTTAATGCCAACGTCAAAGAAAAGCTTACTTCTTCCTTTTTTCAAAAATAATTTATATGTGATATATCACTAAACTTAGGTTGCTAT